CACTGAATAACATCTGTACAATGTTTTACTATGTACATGTATTAGCTATTTCTAAATTTTTACAAATTAAGAGATTCTGATGAATTTATTTTCTTTGCCAAGTTAGTGTCATCATGTATACCTGAGGGCAGATGTTCTCCAAAAAGCCTGTGGAAACACCATCTTTACTAGATAATTGAGTGCCCCCGTGTCTTTTCATGTTGTTTCACGGTAGAATTGTGAGGTAGGTACTAAATACGAAGAAAGAACAGACCCATGTTACAGATGCACTGAGAAACCAAGAACTGCTGGCCATCACACACCTGTAAGCAGCGGATCAAGGACTGAATCCCAGATTTTCTGACTCCAATGCCACTGCAATTTTCATTTTCTAGGCTGTCTAGTCCTGCAGATAAAAGTTATAGCTAGCACTCAGGTCAGATTACCTGGGTTCCAATGTTGCTTTGCAGGGCCCTAAAGTACTTATAAGATCTGCAAGATGTATTAAGAAGCAATGTGATATATAGTATTTTACCATTTTGTGCAAAAAAAGGGAAACTTTTTAAAGAGAATGTATGTCTGCATTTGCTTATTATGCATAAACTATCAGTCGCCTACAGGTTCTCCATCTGTAAAATGTGGGTGATGGGATTTCATTCAATAATGCAAATATTAGAACAGTGCATACTGAAGTACCATTTTATTTGGATTCTGAATCTAAATAATTCCTTGGCTTAATCATATTTTAAAACACCCCTTTAAAGATAATTTTCAATTGCATAGGCAAGATGAAAACGTGGAAAGCCACTGCAAAATGTAATTACTTAAAGCTGCTTTAAATTAGGCCCAAAGCAGAGTGATTAGCCAATACTGAAAGATGTGGATGAACCACAATTATAGATCTCAAAGAACTATTGCTGTTCACCCTTTTACTAAACTTAATAACTAAAATCCTTTTTTTTCCTAAATGGGGTCATGTAGATGTTTACTACAATGTATTTTGACAGTTTGCTACTCTAAATGGTATGAACAAGTTTAAAGAAAAATCTTAAACAAAATATGACCTTAGATTACAACCTAAAAATATATTTACAAGTCTCAACGATGTTACTGTTGCCATTTTAACTTTAAATTAGTAGAAGACATACTTTAATCTGCCGTAAAATCCTGGAGAAAAAAACTACACTAGGATTATATTCAAAACACAGGGTTTAGGGAAATGGGCTTAAAAATTTTTTTAATGTTTATTATTTTTGAGAGAGAGAGAGAGAGAGAAAGCACCAGCGGGGGAGGGGCAGAGAGCGAGGGAGACCCAGAAACAGAAGCGGGCTCCAGGCTGTGAGCTGTCAGCTCAGAGCCTGACCTGGGGCTCGAACCCACAAACTGCAAGATCATGACCTGAGCTGAAGTGGCAGACTTAACTGACTGAGCCAGATGCCCCAAAAGGGCTCTTTAAAAAAATATTTGCTTCAGCCTTTTAGAGGCCAGACAAGGTGACAAAAATAGACCCCCACCCAGAGCCGTATGGGGTTTTCTGTCTCCTCCCGAGCATTTTCTTGCTTTCTTCCGCAGTCAGAGGCCCAAAGAAAGTGACCTCCAGGTGGGGCGTCTCCAGGGGCGGGCCAGAGTGGCCTCTGTGCTTCGAAGACCCGAGTCCGCAGACCAGCCGCCGACAGGTGTCCCAGCGCACCCACTAGCGCGGGTCGCGCGGCCCCGGGAGCAGCCACGGGGAAAAGGCAGCCAGGTGTCCGCCTTGCCGCCGGGGACCGCAGCATACCCTCGGCGCCGCCCCAGTCCCCCTTCCTCGGAACCTGGGTGCACCCCCGAGCCGCGCGTGACTTCCTCGGGACTCGCGTTCTCGTCGCGTTCCATCCCCAACCGAGAGCAGAATGTGACCTCTGTCCTGAGAAAAGGCTGTGGCTAGTGTCTAACCCTGACTCACAGTATGGCTCGAGATACCTCCCACCCCTCAAAAGTCTGGGTCATTATTGCAACAGAAATAAGAGCACCTGGTCAGTGATGCCCAGTAGGTTACTTAGATATAAATCAAGGACTTAGGTGTAATTTTGCCTTTCCTTAGGTTCTATTTTTAAAATGGATTCTCTGTAAGGTATGTAAAAAGTATCCGGTCATCTGCAATCATAGGACCTTGGGAAAGACTTGCCTATAATCTGGGATGGCTTTGGAGTCATACTTCTTTAATTTTCCTTTCTTTCCTGGGCATAATAATGAAAGTTTCGTGGTCTTTCTTTGCTCCTGGAACATTCTTGGACCATTCTGTTACTTTATTTGGAATGTTGGATTATTTTTTTCACCTTCCAAAAGAGCTGTAGTGGTGAAATACTAGAAAAATGAAAAGGTGAGATTTGAATCAGGAGCTATAGTTTTATAAGCTTCTGTCGAAATGTTTGTGGGCATCTACCGAAGAATTCTGGTGTTCATTGTAGTGCTGAATACACATACATATCTATAAAAATTACTTTTTAAATTGTTGTGGGTCCATATTTTCAGACAGAATAATTCAATTGAAAGTACACATATTTCCAATCATTACAGTTTTAGGATTATATAAAAGTACTTAAGTGTGCAATGTCACATTTTAATGAACTGTGCAGATTTCACAGATGTCACTTTTCTCACTTTTATTTTACTAACTGGAAATTATCTTTAATACTTTTCTCTCTTACCAACATCCACTTTCATTTGACTTTTCGTAGATTAGATGTTAACTGCAATTTTGGATTCCATGTAAAACTTTCAAATACTCAACTTTTAGTCTTTAGTCTTTGCTTCCTTCCCTCATATCACCATTTCTTTACATTTTCAAAAATTTGTCATTCCTGTTAAAATATTTATATGACCTAGTATTATCTCCAATAATGTTCAAACCTAAACCATTTGAAGTTTACTCAAGAAGGCATGGAAAATAAATCTAGGGTGGCACCTTAATCTTAATCTTACATAACACAGTGTGCAGTTAATATTACTATGATGTACAATTATGACTGATTGTGGGAATCATTCCAAAGAAAATTCTCATTAATTAATATTTCCAAGGAATTAAACAAGAGCAGAGCTATTTGCATTGTTCTATTGGTAGTGACTGCTTTCAATTGGTATTTCTTACATTTTAATCTCATTACAAACACTGATTAGCATATCAAGATAATTTTATACCACATGTATATGATTGGGTAAGGGCACTAGGAAAATGCAGTGTGAAGAATTTATGAAAGGAAAGAAGCTAGAAATATCGACTTAGAAAAGGGTTTTGTTGCCAGAAAAAGATTAATGAGCCTCTAGGGAAACTTCATATGGCCTGGTTTCTTTCATGAAAATTCTCTCAAAAAGAGAAGGCTATGAACCTCCTAATGAAGAAATTAAACACACACACACACACACACACACACACACACACCACATTTTTAGAAGTTTCTATCTACAAAGAGTGGTAAAACAAGAAGACACAGGAAGGCTATTCCAGAAGACTTCTTTCATTTAAAAAAAAAAAAAGGTATTTGGGTTGTGAGAAGTAACTGCAAGCTAGGACTAGAACTACATCCTACAATGAAATAGAAAGTAAGTAAGCCCCATACAAGTTTGCCTTTAACGGTTTCCCCATTGTTTTATATATTCCTTTTCCTCTTCCAATTTGATTGTGGGTTCCTCTCCAAAAGGAAGTATTTCTTTTGCACAAGCCACAGAACTTCGTTTAGCACTGGACACATAGTAGGTTTCAAGCATTTAATAGATGGGCTCTAGGAGTTGCAGTGATGTTCCACACGTGGAAGAGATATACTGATGTAGTAACTAGCTCATTAAAAATAAAAGTTCTTTCCTGAAAGGAGCATTTCTCAGAGCTGCCCTGATTGCCAACGAAAAAGGCCTCATCCGGGTTTGCCCTAGATTTATGCTAACATTTAGTTAAAATCAATAGGACGACATAAAATTAATCCATTTATTTAAATGGGATAGGCCACTTGAGAAGCAGTGATTTCACAAGTATCAGGGATAGGAAATTGTGTGGATAAACTTGCTAATGCTGTTGATCAGTTTCTATACGAGATCAAGTGGAAAGACTGAATTTGAAAAGTTCTTCTTAGGTTTCTCATGCTAGCAATCAAATCAGTGTACACTGAAAAAAAAAATGTACCACGAGAGCAGACACACACAGGTCTCTTTATAGCGTAATAGAATTAGAATTAAAAGGCAAACTGTGGGATTGAAATCTATTCTAAACTGAAAAACTAGACGTCTGGAGTGCCATATGGGGTGAACGTGTGATATGGGCTTCGATAAAAGCAGCTGGCTTTGAATGGAACAAGCCAAGAGGCCAGCCCCAAAAGCATATTCGTTCGGGTCCCGGCCACCGAGTTGAAACCCTCGCTGATTCACCGGCTGTGAAGGCAGCCCCTTGGGTCTTCCGCCCCTCGCTGCCCTGGGTGCTTGGGCCTTGTACTCATCTGCAGCGGGGCGGTGATCCGAAGGCAGGGGCGGGGGAGGAGCCAGCCCCGGGCGGACAGGCGACTAGCGGTGGAAGTGGCTCAAAGGGGTTGTCCCGGACCTTCGAGAGGACCAGGCTAAAGCCTGGAGGTTTACTGCCGAGGGAAGGCATACTCCAATGTCTACATCACCTTTACAATTTAAACCAGGAACGGCAGAAGGAATATTCCGCACATCCCGGCCCGGCCGCCTTCTGGCCGCCCCACCCCCCAGCTGGAGCCGAAAGTAATTCATACAAAGGAGGACTCGCCTCAGCCTTGGGGAATCCCAGGGACCGTCGTTAAACTCTCGATAACCTAGAACCGAAGGCTCGTTCGACCCCACCTCCCCACCCACTCGCTCTTGTCATCATTTGGGTCAAAAGGAGCATGCGCGAGGCGAAGTGTGCTCTTCAGTGGGATGAGCGCACATCGCCCACGGTCCCCGAGAAGTAGGGGGGAAGGGACGGCGATTGAACGGGTGCCTGGTAGAGTTGGCGCGGGGTAAACTGGGAAAGTGGTGTCGTGTGCTGGCTCCGCCCTCTTCCCCGAGGGTGGGGGAGGATCGTATATAAGTGCCGTAGCCGCCTTGAACGTTCTTTTTCGCAACGGGTTTGCCGCCAGAACACAGGTGAGTACCGGGTGTGGTTTCCGCGGGCCTGGCCTCTTGGAGCCGGTTGCGGCCCTCGCTTGCCTGTTACAACTGCCGCGCCATCCAGGCACTTTACGAGGTTCTTGACCCCGAATTTCGGGTTGTGAGTGGGTGGGAAGGTTCGCGGCCTTGCGTTTTTTCAGGATCCCTCCCCCCCCACCTTCGCCTCGTGCTTGGGTTGAGGCCTGGCTTGGGCGCTGTGGCCGTCGCGTGCGAATTCCCCGCACCTTCTCGCCTGCCTTGTCACGATCTTTTTAAGTCTCGAGCAAATTAACCGGTCCAGAAAAGGCTGCTATGCTTGTCCGCGTCAAGATAGTTTCGCGGAGGTTGGTCAGGATCTCAGCAGGGTGGGCTTTTTCGCGGTCGTCGGGTTTTTGGGGTTGTGGGGCCGCCGCGAGGCGCGGAGGGCGGTGGCGAGGCCGGCTCGTCCGGGCGCACATGTCCGGCGAGGCGGGGCCCACAAGCGGTGGCCACCGAGTCGGGCGCGGGAGGGCACCGTGGAGTGGGACGGGCGGCTCTGGGGGCCTGCCTCGTGCCGTCCACCTCGGCCGGCCAGGCCGGCCCGCTCGGCACCAGTTGCGTGCGCGGAAAGATGGCCGCTCTCCGGCCCTGCTGCAGGGAGCTCAAAATGGAGGACGCGGCGGCCCGGGAGAGCGGGCGGGTGAGTCACCCACACAAAGGAAAAGGGCCTTTCCCTCTCCGGCCGCCGCTTCCTGTGACCCCACGGTGTACCCGGCGCCGTCTTGGCACCTCGATTTCTTCTCAACGACTTGGAAGCAGGCCTTCCTCGAGGGGGAGGGGATTTTGTGCGGTGGAGTTAACCCCACGCTTGGTGGGTGGAGACTAGAGTTGGGCCAGCCTGGCACTGGTTGTAATTCTCCTTGGAATTTGCCCTTTAAGAGTTTGGATCGTGGCTTATTCTCAAGTCTTTGGGACAGTAGTGTTAAGGGTATTTTTCTTCCAATTTAGGTGTCGTGAAAACCACCGCTAAATCTAAACCAAAATGGGAAAGGAAAAGACTCATATCAACATCGTCGTCATTGGACACGTAGATTCGGGCAAGTCTACCACTACTGGTCATCTGATCTACAAATGTGGTGGGATCGACAAAAGAACTATCGAAAAATTTGAGAAGGAGGCTGCTGAGGTAGGTGCAGCAACATAATGAGGAAGGTAGTTGGAAGTAAGTTGGTTAGCAGGTGTTAGGTGGTAACTCAAAACTAGTCAGTAGTGTGGATCTGAATGTCCTACTTAAAGGGGGAGTAAACTAGTGTTTGCTGTTAAACTTCTTACGTATGTTAATGTGAGTCATCTAACAGTTGTTGAACTGAAACTTCACGTTTCTGCTGAAGTGGGAGTAAGGGATTTCCAAGTTGAAGATGGATCATGTTTTAGTTCCCAAGTAACCCATTTTCAATTCTTACAGATGGGAAAGGGCTCCTTCAAGTATGCCTGGGTCTTGGATAAACTGAAAGCCGAACGTGAACGTGGTATCACCATTGATATCTCCCTGTGGAAATTCGAGACCAGCAAGTACTATGTGACCATCATTGATGCCCCAGGACACAGAGACTTTATCAAAAATATGATTACGGGCACATCTCAGGTTGGTATGATTAATAGTAACTTGAAAATAATGAGATTTGCCTTATGCAATGGAAAAAGGGTGAGTTCATCCTTTTGAAGAAGCTGTAACCGGATATGGTCTTGTTTTCTTTTCAAAGGCTGACTGTGCTGTCCTGATCGTTGCTGCTGGTGTTGGCGAATTTGAAGCAGGTATCTCCAAGAATGGGCAGACCCGTGAGCATGCCCTTCTGGCTTACACACTGGGTGTAAAACAACTTATTGTCGGTGTTAACAAAATGGATTCCACTGAGCCACCCTACAGCCAGAAGAGATACGAGGAAATCGTTAAGGAAGTCAGCACCTACATTAAGAAAATTGGCTACAACCCCGACACCGTAGCATTTGTGCCAATTTCTGGTTGGAATGGTGACAACATGCTGGAGCCAAGTGCTAATGTAAGTGACTTTCAAGACTTGGAGGAAGTGATGGAAGGGGACAGATGTTGAGACTAATTGACAACCATTTGGGGGATGCTAATTGACAATCTTGTTTTAGATGCCTTGGTTCAAGGGATGGAAAGTCACCCGTAAAGATGGCAATGCCAGTGGAACCACACTGCTTGAAGCTCTGGATTGCATTCTGCCACCTACTCGTCCAACTGACAAGCCCTTGCGTCTGCCCCTCCAGGATGTCTACAAAATTGGTGGTAAGTTGAACATCACTATCAGGACGTAACTTGTGCTGGTTGCTGCACTTTTTTCACGTAAGGTATTTGACACCATGCTGTAAATATTTCAGGTATTGGTACTGTCCCTGTGGGTCGAGTGGAGACCGGTGTTCTTAAGCCAGGCATGGTGGTCACTTTTGCTCCAGTCAATGTTACAACTGAAGTAAAGTCTGTTGAAATGCACCATGAAGCTTTGAGTGAGGCTCTACCTGGGGACAACGTGGGCTTCAATGTCAAGAACGTATCTGTCAAAGATGTTCGTCGTGGCAATGTGGCTGGTGATAGCAAAAATGACCCACCAATGGAAGCAGCTGGCTTCACAGCTCAGGTAACACTGGAAAGTGGCAATGTTCTCACTTAACTGCCAGACTTGGTGTTTTGAGGCTCATTAAATGCAACTCTTTTTCAGGTGATTATCCTGAACCATCCAGGCCAAATCAGTGCCGGATATGCACCTGTGCTGGACTGTCACACAGCTCACATCGCCTGCAAGTTTGCTGAGCTGAAGGAGAAGATTGATCGTCGTTCTGGAAAAAAGCTGGAAGATGGTCCCAAGTTCTTAAAATCTGGTGATGCTGCCATCGTTGATATGGTTCCTGGCAAGCCCATGTGTGTTGAGAGCTTCTCTGACTATCCTCCTCTGGGTAAGGATGACTTGAGTGTAATTAGAAACTTTACTGAAGATGGGAAATACCAGAACAAAGTTTCTGATGACCATCTAAAATTTGTTTTAATAGGCCGTTTTGCTGTTCGTGACATGAGACAGACGGTTGCTGTGGGTGTCATCAAAGCAGTGGACAAGAAGGCAGCTGGAGCTGGCAAGGTCACCAAGTCTGCCCAGAAAGCTCAGAAGGCTAAATGAATATTATCCCCAATACCTGCCACCCCAGTCTTAATCAGTGGTGGAAGAACGGTCTCAGAACTGTTTGTGTCAATTGGCCATTTAAGTTTAATAGTAAAAGACTGGTTAATGATAACAATGCATCGTAAAACCTTCAGAAGGAAAGGAGAATGTTTTGTGGACCATTTGTTTTTTTTGTGTGTGGCAGTTTTAAGTTATTAGTTTTTAAAATCAGTACTTTTTAATGGAAACAACTTTGACCAAAAATCTGTCACAGAATTTTGAGACCCATTAAAACAAAAGTTTAATGAGAAACCCGTGTCTTCTTTTGGTCAACACTACAAGCTTGTACTATTCAGGTAAAAAGATTAAGAGTTGCCCATAACGTATTCCTGGTGTTAACATCTGGTGAAACTGAGAATTGGGTTAAGGGTTTTTTCCCCCCGGGCTGGGAAACATTTTTACCACCTCAGGGAAAAGAAACAAGTACATAGAGGTATGGGAAAAGGGGATCTGCAACACAGTTTAGAACAGTAACACCATTAAGGTAGGTTACAAAAAGTTAAATTTTGTAAATCAAAGTCAACGTGTAAGATTTGTATACTATCACTATTGAGTAGACTTGATACATTGTCACAATTGAGTTTCCCACTTATTGGAATGCTTTGTCACATTTATAAATCTTGTAGTTTAAAGTATCCTGAACGGTGAGGCATTCAATAACGTTATTGTATTTAATGGTAGAGTTCATTGTGTCCAAACTGTAGGAGAACAAAGTATATACTGGAATTTTAATGTCACTTGAGAAGTAGAAATCCACCTCCGTTAGGAATTTTCATCTAAGCCAAGCTTGAGTGAAGAAGGGACATTGCTGCACTGGAGATTTAAAACCCAAAGTGGCAGTACTCAGCCTAAATGAGGACCTGTTTTGGACTGTAGGGTAAGCTTTGTTTTTAGTTGAATATGTTTTGAGATTTTGCTAAAAGTGTCCTTTCAAAATTGTTACCTAACAAGAAGCAATAAAAGAATGACCATTTGAAGTTAATTTCATGGATGAGATGGAAAGTGAAAAGCTCGTTAAACCCCACTGTGGTAATTTTGTAATTTATATAAACTGTTACGTAGACTGGTAAATTAACAGTACTTTGGTTGACAACAACGTGGTCTTAAGTTCTTGCCTTTGGATAGCTGGCAAATCTCTTTAACACTGGTGCATTTGATAGAACATTCCATGGATCCTGGCTAATTTGGACATTAATTTCATAAGACCCTATTTGATTCATAAATTTTAAGTTGCTTTGAAATAGGCAAAATCACAGGACACCTTGTATTTTATAATGCAGACATTTACTAAGTGGCACTTAGTGGCCATAATGAGAACTGCAATTAAGATACTTTTTTTTTTTCTAAACTAGGTAAAATGCTTGGTCTCTGGGCAGTATTACCAGAGGCATTGTAAACTTAAAGTTAATAAGACCTTGTCTCCACAGCTCCAAAACACCCATTATTTTTTTCCTCTTATTTGTAAAAATATGTTGATTGCTAATTGGCTTAAGATAAGGAGTGGAGATAGGTAAGATTCTTAAACAGCATGTTGGTAAAAGGTAGCCAGCATAAGAAATCTTGTGTACTAGGAGGGATTTATTGTTCACACCCCCACCCCCCAAAAAATCACTTAGCTTCAGAAAATGGCTACCACTAAATGGATAAAGGGAAGTGGAAATAGTGTCCAGAAAAGCTGGGCCAGTTGGGATACTTAACTCCATAGAACCCAATGCGATATAACCTTGTGAAGGCAGTCATCTGTTTGGAGCACCATCTACTGGTAGTCCTGCAAATAATTTACAAACTGGTTTCAAAAATGAGTGTAAATTGAGAATATAGAAGTTTACTTTAGCTCTGTTGAACTTTATGTACTAATTGCATTGTTTGGATTGATTAAAATTAAGAGTGGTTTCATAAAACTAGAATGCCTCAAACTAGTGTTTGACCTTCAACCATGTTTAAAATTGGCCAGCTGTTGAATTACCCATGTTCGTGATCTTGAAATTTGTACTGGGAATTCTGGTGTGATTTCAGAATATGGGGGAAAGCATTCTCTCTTTTTTAATGTTTAGTTTTGACATGGAGCATAAGTGGGGGAGGGGCAGAGAGAAGGAGACAGAATCTGGTTCCAGGCTCCTGACCTGTCAGCACAGAGCCAGACTTGGGGCTTGAACTCATGAACCGTGAGATCATGACCTGAGCCAAAGTCGCTCAACCAACTGAGCCACCCAGGTGCCTCTAGGAGGAAAGCATTCTGATTCAGGACTTAAAACAGATCCTTAGTAAGGCATATTTGATTTTTAAAAAATTATTGTTAGTGTCCTTACTGCCAGAATAGATAATCAAATCTGGTTTTGGCCAAATCAGTTCTAATTTATGCGTTTATCCCTTAATCTTCTAGCCTCTTAAGAGCATGAGAATTCATTTGGTTGCTAAAGTTTGGGTTCAGCCCGACATAAAGGCTACTGGCTGCACAAGTGGTGCAAGCCCCTTGATTTTAAGTAGTTTTCAGTATGGAGTGTAAGAATCCTGGTGAATGTTACTGGGCTTGCATTTCACGTTTCAATTGGTTTTCTGCTAAGTTCAGCCCCAAGCTCTCCACCCAAAACATTTCTTGGCCATAAGTGTTCACAAATTCTAAAATGGCCAACTCTCAAGGGTAACAGTTTGTTGGGTGTTAATGTGACTTTACATAGGCTTTAGATTGGTAGTAGAATATATTCATTTTGTTACCATGAAATGCAGGAATACTCAATTATTCTATTTTATAATGTCTTTCACTTCCAAACCCATAGGTTTTCTCATCCAGTTGGTAAGTCTCTGGGAATTTCCATGACTTAAAATTGAAACTTAATGATGTCTAGGAGACTGCCACATGGTTCCTGAAAGGTAGTTGATCCCTGGAAATCATTGAGAAGGATCATGATTTTGTCCTTTTCCTAAATAGAGAAATAGGAACTAAGTGTCCTGTCCATCAATCACTGGCAGAAATGAGTGAAATAAGGAAAATAGTCATTCACCTTGGACTACCCTTAAGGGGCCCATAGGTCTCAAGAGTTTAGAGCTCTGGTTTTTGTGGGAGACTACATAACAAAGATAATGCTAAGTTAATGTTAACAGTTACTTCCTGAGTAAGCAAAAAGTATTAACACTTGGGCAATTGAAAGTTTGTTAATGTTTTTGCATACATTGAAAAATCACCTTTTCAAGAAAAGTTTTACAAGTCTGTTTCATATCTAAGTTTTTTCATGGACAGTTTGTCCATTTGGTGGTTTTCCAGTATGGGAAGTTTATTAATTGGACTGTTCACCTGTAGGTTTGTGACTATAGGTTGTCTGTGTAAATACTTAGCAGTGGGATCACTGGATTGTATGGCAAGTGTATGTATACCTTTTGTAGGAAACTCCCAAACTAGTAATCGATTTTTAAGCTGCACTATTGCTAGGCATTGGAGATAGAATTGCATACAAAATGGACAGGTCTTGCCACTTGAGTTTATAATCCAGTGGGGGAGGTAGATCCTACCTTAAATGAGCAGGTAATACTGAATTGTGATGATGCTATGAAGAAAAATGCCTTGTCAGGCATAACTTGAGATCTGAAGGACAAGTAGGAGTTGCTGGAGAATATGAAAACATTAGACATCCAAATGTCTAGTGAAAAAAGTAACAAGGACACACAAATTGAAAGAATCTAAGTCTTTTGTAAATCTAACTTCAAATCAACTGAGTATATTCATTGAAGTCTGCTTGAATACCTCATCAATGTATATGTCACTCATTGGAGGGCAGAGACCTTAGGGCAAGTATTAATACCCTCATTACAGATGACAGACTGAGGTACAGTAGCTCCTAAGTCATCTATTGCTGGATGAGCTTTTTGTCTCCATTCTATTTGCTTGCTAGTGACATAAAACTTAAGTTCTTTTGTAAGGTAATTGAACTATTTTACTTCATTTTACAAGAATAATTGATCCCAATTATATCTTTTTGAAAAAAAATCTTTGATCTCTCTACCCAAAGTGGGGCTTGAACTCATGACCCTGAGATCAAAAGTTGCATGTTCCTCGACTGAACCAGCCAGGCACCCCCAATTAATACCCTTTGGTCACATCTACACTAAACCGTTCTTAAGCTGTTTCTGAACCTTAGGTCACAGGGTTTCTAGATTCTTCTATGCCGTTCCCCTTTCCAGTGTATAGCTTTTTAAACTTTTTATCAAAATTTGTGGATGTACAAGTATGTAGTCTCTTCCGTTGACCCAGGAGACCCAGGAGTCTGCCTGACTTGGACTTGAAAAGCTGTCCCTTTAATCTGTGCATAACTGTCCATCTCAAGATTGTTCTGAGAATGAAATGAGTTAGTTGGTGTGGACTCTAGCCCAGTACCTGGCCTGTTGTAAAAGGCCAGTAATAAAAGGTAGCTTTTATTGCAGTTGTTAGAAGATCCGTTGCTTTAAAAGTTTTTTTTTCTAACTTTTTTTTTTAAACGTTTATTTTTGAGACAGATGAACCAGGGAAGGGTCAGAGAGAGGGAGACACAGAATCTGAAACAGGCTCCAGGCTGTCAGCACAGAACCCGATGTGGGGTTTGAACTCACGGACCGCGAGATCATGACCTGAGCTGAAGTCGGCCGCTCATCCGGCGCCCCTCTGACATTTTTGAGACCAAGACAAAGCATGAATGGGGGAGGGTCAGAGAGAAAGGGAAAAGTTTTTTAAATGTTTATTCTAAGAGTGAGTGTAAGAGAAGCAGAGGGGTAGAGAGAAAATCCCAAGCAGGCTCCACACTCTGCAGACCCTGACATGGGGCTCAAACTCCTGAACCCTGCAATCGACCTGAGCCAAAAGCAAGGGTCAGTTGCTCAGTGGACTGAGCCACCCAGGTGCCCTAAGGAGGTTATAACACAGATTATGATCAAATATCATCTGACTTTTTAAATGCAAATTACATTTTAGATCTTTAATTGCATTGTGAAGTTTTTTAAATAAAACTTTGGTAGTAACTAGGTTCATAGAAAAGTTGGGAAGATAGGATAAGAGTTTCAGTATACCCCTCACCTAGTTTGTTTCCCGTTAACGTCTTCCACTTCCATAGTATAGTACATTTGTCAAAACCAAGAAACCATTGTTACCTTACTATTTCCAGGCTTTATTCACATTTCAACAAGTATCCAATCTGACACTCATTTTATTTTTGAGAGTAAGGGACAGCATGAGTGGGGGAGGGGCAGGAAGCGAGGGAGACACAATCCGAAGAAGGCCCCAAAGC